ACGTGTATAATGAAGGAATGAACGAATGAGACGTCGGTGAAACACTGCGCGTGACCAGATTCGCAATAGAGAGCGCCGTATGGCTTGTTGGGCAAAGCACTTTTGAGATCCGTTCAGTTGGCCCCCTGCGTCCGGACCTCTTCCTACTTAGGTGTCGTAGACTGAGGTATGGCCGGTTAGCTGAGAATTTCCATCGCGGGATCGCAGCGCTTAATCGTTTTGTGCTGCTGACCCGGATTCCCTCCCACCTGCACTATTTAAGGATGGAGGTGAGGTCCTCTGCAAAACACACCCTATTCGTGCAGGTCTGGAAAGCAGAGAACATCCCAGCTCAATGGAGTGAATCGAATATAATGGCAATATACAAGAAGGGCGGCCGACTGTGTTAACTAGAGGTGTATTATCCTCACGCCAATGGTGACAAAAGTACTAATCTCAATACTTGTTCATCGTCTCACTGCAGAATGACAATCCCGGATAAGGGAGAGCAAAAAGATTTCCGCCCAGGACGTGGTTGTAGAGACCATATATTCTCTTTGCGGCAGGTCCCAGAGTAGCGCCACACGTATCGCATGCCGACAAGAGCTGTGTTTCTAGACTTCAAGGGCACGTTTGACTCAGTCGATCGATGCATTCTGTTCGAAATGCTTCCGCGAAAAGGTGTACCCACGAAATATGTGAACTTCCTACGTGCTCTATACTCGAACATTACAGGCCGCGTGAGGGTCTACGATGATATATCGGATAGTTTTCCGACCACAAGTGGCGTTTGTCAGGGTTGTCCGATTTCCTCACTTTTGTTCAACTTTGTAGTGGACTGCATGATGCAGTGTTCCCTTGCGGAATCTCATGATGCAGGCGTTGTTGTGCTGTCTGATGAAAGGTTAGTTGAGTTGGATTATGTGGAGGATACTGTTCTGCAGAATAACGATATTGGGGTTGTCCAGTCAACCTTGGATAATCTGTCTAAAGTGGTCCTATCATTTGTCAGCCGCATGGTATCTGCAAAGTGCAAAATGCTGTTCCAGGACTGAAGTCAATTCACGCATTGGAAAAGGCAAAACTGACTTTTTGAATCCGCAACATATGTGGCGTCAGAAAGAAGTTTTCCTCCGTCCGAAACACCGTGTTTACAAGGCCACAGTGAGAGCCATCCTACTCTATGGAAGTGAGACTTGGTCTCTCTGATCTGATGACCTGCGACGCCTTCAAGTCTTTGATCATTGTTGTCTGCGAAACATTGCTGGCGTCGGATGGCACAGGTGTGTCCACAAGCATTATGTGCGTAAGCGAGTATTAGGCAGTGATAACCAGGCTAGTTCTTTGGGAAAACAGATAGCACTGAATAAGTTACCTTGGCTTAGAATCGTATTATGTATGCCTGGTCACCGTTTACCAAGGAGGACCTTGTTTTGCTTACCAGAGATAGAGTGGTGCAAGGCCCGACATGGGCAAAAATTAACTTGGCAAAGGTGAAATGAAGTCAGTGACAATTCAACTCTGTGCCGTCGGTCCGTCTCGTCTTTCAGGCTGGAGACCATGTGACCGGTGTTGTAGTTCGCTCGAGCCGTTAAAGGACATGGCTCGTAATCGACACCAGGGGCGTGTCTGCTGTCGTCTAGTCGGATTGCTTGTTTAAAGTGTGCTTGGTGCTGAGTTAGCTGGGAGGTTATGGTTAATTATAACGTGGGGCAGTGAATGCTGCAAGAAATTTGTCTCGAAGATACCGCCTTATCTTTGTACGATAGCTAGTTGTCCGTGATAGTATGTTGTTGTCAATGTGTAGGCACCTTGACTCTGAGTGCTTATGTAAGGTATTAAGGTTTTACGCTAGGTCCCTATTCTCTCTCTTATTGTTTTTTGTTCCGTAAGTTGCTGTGATTGTACGGCAGCGAAGCATCAGTTTCAATGACTGATGTATTGCTGGCAATGAGGTTGAAGGCTACGCTGAACCATGACGTATCATTATTATCAAATTTAAACAGGATATCGACGGAAGCCAGAGGCTACACAATTGTAGCAAGTCTGGAAACTTTCTACACTTCAAGCTGTGGGAAGTTAAGTTCCACAGCAGTCGACAAGTTGATTCCATTAGATTTTCCGGATCTACTGCAAAAGCCAGGTAAATGAAACTTATGTCTAATAATAACAGAGGTTAAAAGTCCGGGAACACTGATAACGTTTTCCCACTCACATGGGTTTAGACGAAAAACTGCGGGCAAGAACACGGAGTACGAACGCCTCAACAAAGGCCGCCGATAATGTAGCGCGAACTGCCACACGTGACTGAAGCCAGAAATAAAATAAATTCCCACACCTAAATCGACGGTTTATCAAGTTGTTCTGTCCTAAACCGCTTCGATTGGAGCAAAGCAGAAGTTCTGGCAAGGGGTGAAACAAGGAAAGAAAGGGAAGCCCTGGAAAGTTGGTTCGCAATAGAAAACTCTATCAACATGCGCGTCGACATCGATTCAATATACGAACCACTTCGACAAAAAGAAATAAAGAACAATTAGGGCGCCGAGTTTAGTCTTGGGGAAAGTAGGTAGAGGTCACGGGATGCAAAACGAAACTGCCACTTTCAAAAGTCACCTGCATGCCGATCATGATTCATTCACGATTCATTTAGTAAGATTGCACGCCGTATCTCACTGCACTGAGGATGCCACCTCGCATGGTGGTGGTGAAACGTTTGGGACGAAACCGCCAAGCTCGGAGAACAAAATGAACAATTGAATCATCAACCCGAGCTACCAGTATTCCGAAGTATAAGTGAATCGACAAATCACGTCGTCCGGTCATTCGGCGGTCGTAGGCAGTGCGATTGCTGGTCACTCTATTAAGATGCGGTGAGCACACCGAAACATGCATCGGCAGATTCAGTAGCTGTCGTATGCGGTTAGTTGATCTAATGTGTGCTTGCACGATCGAGGGTCGCGCACAAGTTCCGCTCACGATACACAGGACTCATTTCACGATAACCTCGCCGCGAGGCGGATCGCGCTCAAAAGTGACCCGATCCAAATTGCTCAACATACTTCGCCGCGAACAGATGAAGGACCGATCAATCACCCCTAGCTCATCGTGATGGATGGTCAAAGAAACACCGGGATCAGGCAGTGAAGCCAACTCAGACGGGCTTAAAAAGAGCACAATGCTTTATCCCACAACCGTATGACAGTGCAGCCCGCATGGTCCACATCTGTTCCAGATGACAGAACGATGCTAAATGCGCTGTGGCTTAAACAGTTCCCATGACGTTGGACGAAAAGATAAACAATGTAAGCATGGAACAAGTGGGGCTATCGTCAAAACTCATCGGTCAAGAATCGAAAGGTGTGGTGTTCCTATTTAAACGGGTATGTATGCACTACAGATTTTGATTCGGAAGACGATGGCAAAGTTAAATGAATGGAGATATAGCCGAGTAGACTGCATCGAATAAGGTTCCGTTTTAGGAGATTCTGGTCAATTGGATTCACGCGGAGTAAGCTTTAGATACTGCTTGAGACGACCACAGAAATTAGTTGGAAAGATTTCCATGAGAGAAGTAGATTAGTACTCCTCGCAAGAAAGAACGATGGACTTTCTCGGGTTTCAGTACCCGATAAGAGTTGCATCGCGTCTGCAGGTTCTGTCCTTCTGAAACAGCCGAGTGGAATCGATGCGAATGGCTTCCAGTACGTTGATCATAATACTTCACAATGGTAGGTTTTACATGTGAAACCAATCCTGAGAAAGGAGTTATGGTACAGAATTTGCTCCACAACAGCACATCCGCAGGTTACCGCTGATTTGACGCTTAGGGTTTCCAGTATTTTTTTTCTGTACCTAAGCAGGAAAACCCGCTGTATCTCTCGTGTATTCCACTCGCTCGTCTCCAGGAAAGTTCGCTTGAACGTATGGACAAATCGCTTTGTCTATTGGTTGGATTGGGGAGGGAATAATTATAAGCGCAGATGAGTCACACCATTCCGATCCAAGTAATTGGTGAAAAACGGGGTGAATTCGAAGTCTCTGCATGGCATGTAACGTTGTCTTCTGATCGATTAACTGCGGGTAGCGTGCTTGATGCAAAAATACTCGGACAACTTGCTGAAGTAGCCTGCGATGATGAGATATCGTTGGCCAGTCAACGGGGCCAAAAAACCTGTGTGCATGCACTTCCGAGGTTTCGATGTTAGTGACAAGCTGGCGATGTTCAGAAATTTCCACGGTGAAAAAATGAACTATCAATAGTCAACTGGCGTCGGTTTCTTACTGAATAAATCATTACACCCAGACAGTATCGCTAGAAGACTTTGGAACAAGTTCACTGAGGCTGTACGAGAAGTAGAAGTATGAAAATGAGTACATGAAGTTTACCGGCCAAAAGAACATCGATGCGGGATTCGCATTTGCCAGCAAAGTAATCAGAAAGGAGGGGCAATTCACCTGGACACCAAAAAAGGGTCGATTTTCTGCGTAGCAACCTACTTCCAAGATAAGTGCGGGCGTGAGACAAACGACTGGGTTAAAAGTGCTACAAGAAGGTAGGAGCTCTCCAAGCAAATGGCTCACAGAATAACGACCTTCACACGTAGACAGAATACGCTATGGGACAGCTGAATGTACGACCCTAAGTGACAGTAGTAAACGTATCCACACAATGGAGATGGCAGCGGTAAGCCGGAGCTTCCCTGAAATGTAACCACAAGTAACTGGGCCAAGAATGTCGCGAGGTAACCTACACATAGGTAGGTTCGAGTAGGTGACCGTTGAGTACAGACCAGAGGTATGAGCCATTCTGCTCCTGGTCAGACACGATGGAGAAGGACAGAAGTAATACAACGAAGACGACAAGTTGCCGGTGTTTGTAAACCAAAACAAGCGTAGTCACAAGGAGACGGAATCATTTGTCATCATCCACTACAAACAGCGACCCATGGAACATAGTAGAACAAAGTTTATTTAGAAAGATCAAGCAACAACGAGTGGACGCTTCAGAGTAACGAGCTTACTCGTTAGGCCCGAGTTCAGTACCGAGTGCATCGTAAGCAACAAGCTTAAAATGAGCCTTCCCGACATGAAGGAGCAGAAATAGGGCGTTCCTCCAGATGTTGGTGACCACACCGATATCGGAGATTTTGCGCGTTGCCTCCAGTTCACGTTGGACGAGTCGCTGCGCAGCTTGGACAACCATCCGGGGACTGGACACACTGCTTGTACCACAATGATATTCTCCTGTAACGCGAATGGATGAGAAAGTGAACTTGGTTCAGCGAGTGAAACACTTGTCACGCATAAACTACCCAGAAATAGTTAATCTTTCACTTATGACAACACTGGTGGATAAGTGACGAATGGGAAAGATAAAATACTGCAAATAGTGTTCTCGAAAGAAGTACAGCTTTGGCCATATGTCGCAGTAACCGGGATCCGTCGGCTTTGAAGCAGTAATTAATAGGATGTGTTTTACTTGACAATACAAAGTAGCACAATACGTGAAATCATGCCAATTCAACGCCGCTCGGAGAGTACAAGAAAATTGAAAACTGATGTGGGACAACAATTCACGTACGTCAGTGATCCAACCAGCTGAACCACGTACCGGTGCTAAAGTGGCTCACAGCAGACAACACAATGGTTCGAAGTCAAACACGTGCTAAGCACCCTGCTTATCGAAGGTTGAGAAGAGATCGATGGACGGACAATGTCACGTTAAATCCGGAAAGCACCGTCAACCCATAAACCTTGCCCGCAAAGCTGGTAATGCAGATCACCAAAAGGACAAACAAAACTGCAGCACTGTGGTTGGTTTGTAAAAGTCATCTCGAATTCCAGTGAAGATGTAATCTCTCGTGTTCGAGTGATGCTGCTCGAAGGCTACTATGCTCGTAAGGGATCTGATAAAATATGATAAGGCATTCATCCCAATAGCGTCTAGTGAGAGGACGTCATCACCTCGCAGGCTAACCACTGTCAGTGACAATGGTAGATAGGTGGTGCTATATCCCAGTTAGTTTGCAAATTATGTAGCCCAGCCAACGTCCTCTATGGCTCAGTGGCTTAAGCTGCTGGCTGGTTGGCATCTGCCTCTAGCGGTCATGGGTTCGATCCTCCTTAGAGGACCGAGGGAATGCGCGCCACTGACGAGCCCCAATAGGGCGAAACGCGTCTGGCGCTTTTCCGGACTAGGCTCTGCTATGTAGCTTGTGAACGATTAGGATGAATGCCTTATCAAATTTACAACTAAAATCCTGCTACTCATGAGTACTGTAAATCTGATAAAATAGTTGACACCAGCGGGTGACCGAATGGGTGTGTGTGTGTGAATCGAACCGGTGAACATGGGGCTACAAAGCAGAAGCCCCATCCATATGACCATCGACAACATAAGGATTCACGGGACATGATAGTAGATGTAGTATCATTACAGGCTGTGGTTAATGGTCCGACCGACTACAGATCAGGGGTCACCAAAGACGAATGACATCCACGGAAGTTATACTTGCCATGCAAGATGAACATTCCTAGGCATCACTGCGGCTGGTAAGAATGAATATGCGAGCAGCCCTGAGAAAAAGCGGTGCCCAAAAGGTGTCGAGGCGGATTCTCATCATAGCGTACATTTCCATTGAGCGCCTTTCTCGGTGTGCATTAGATGCCATCGCTAAAACGAGTTGGACGAAGCTGCGAGGTGACCGCCAGTTGATGACATGATGTAAAGGCATGGGGGGTAATTAACCGAAAGACTTGATCAGGCGGATGCGTGGGTGCGATATTCTACATCGGTAGTTGAAGATCCTATCGAACATAGTGCAGTCAGTGACCCTTGTGCATTCGGTTTCTCGCATCCAACTGACAGATTAATGTTATGAACTCCACCTTTTGTTCTCTTTGCATACTATCGGCATTCTACTTTATTTTCTCATCGCTGTTATTTATTGTTATCCAGCCACTATTCAGTACTGTTTCGATGGGGCCAACGGATAGGGCATTTCGTAGTTTGACAATTGAACTCTGCGCCGCGCTTGGCCTTGAGACGCTAGGAAGGTTTTGCTCCCTGATGCTTTGCTGTTTTTCTGTGCAACAGGTCCCAGTCACAATCTGGCTGGTTTTTCACACAATGGTGGAAGTGCCTGCACCACAACTGTATTTCATCTGCGCCTATCAAGGGAAGTAGCGCGAAAGAGTCGGCAGTTCGGAGAGCAGCTTGTAACCTCAGCGGAGACACCCCAACCTAAGAAGATTTTTGCTTACGTGAAGCGGCGCCTGAGGCGCGCAAGTGACAGTTGTGTTCGAGGGCACTGACGGACAGCCTGACCTCCAGCACTGAAGGTGCGTCCGCATTGGCGGAGCACATCGCTTTCGTACTTACAAGTAAGCATGCGCCTATGCCGAGCTTGACGTGCGCAGCCCCTACTGAACGCAATAGCTTGGATTGTGGCGTAGAAGATGTCCGCAGTCTACTCACCAGCCTTGCCGGCAAGTAAGCTGCCGGACCAAATGGAGTTCACTTGCCAAGTTTAAAGTCCTTGTCGACCATGTTCTCGCCACCCGTGTCAGATCTGTGCAACAGATCGTTATTCGAGGGCGCATTGCTGAGCGAGTGAAAAGGCTCGTTAGTGAAGCCGATTTCATAAGTGGTGACCTACGCATTGCGGCTAATTACCAACCGATTTGTCTCACCTCTGTTTTGGCAGTACTCGAGAACATTGTGAAAAAGGGTCTTCTCCAACTGTTAGAGCCGAAAGATCTCCTAACGCCGGCACAGCACGACTTCATGAAGGGCCGCTCTTTCATCACCAACCTGTCGTTGAAGCGGCAGTAATTGCTGCAAGTGCTGAACTGGGAGAAATCAGTGAATATCAGCTACATTGATTTTAGTAAAGCTTTCGATAAAGTGGACCATGAAGTCCTGCTCTAAAAGCCGACGATGTGTGGTGTTGGTGGCGCACTGCACCAGTGACATCCTAATTGGGAGAAGACGGCGGATTCAGTTGAATGACCACCTAACGAAAATGCTACTCGTCCACTAGCGGCAAACCCCATGGCACAGTAATAGGGTCAATTTGACTCCTGATCCAAATAAACGAAGTAGCTCAACTTCTTCGGTCGCTTTGTGCACTGTTGGTAGACGATTTGAAGATTTGGAGGGTCAATGATTCTATCGACGACTGTAGCGTCCTTCAGCAGCCGGTGGTCTGCAGAAGTTTACCTAGCGGTCAACCAGGCCAAGTCCACGTTTATGAGCCTGGGGAGGGTGGTAATGGGCAACCCACTGCATCCCACGAGTTTCGTAAAGGATCTAGACATACTCTCACGCTGTGATCTGAAGTCTGTCGACAACACGAACAGACTGTACGTAAAGGGACAACGCCTGTTTTGGACAACGCGACGCGGCTTTTGCACTTGGTCTGAAAAGATTGCTGCTCGTCTGTTCTCTTCCATAATAAGACCGGCGCTTGAATGCAGTTCATCCGCCTATTGTCCGATCACAATAAGTGAGGTGCAGAGACTGGAACGGGTAAAGCATGTAGCTACCCGGCTCATACACAGCTTACGAGGTATGTAGTATGAGGACCGATGTAAGAGACTAGAGCTGTATACCATGTCATATCGTCGCCTTCGAGTTGATCGCATAATGACGCACCGCATATTGCACCTGGGCCACTTCCCTATGTTGCAGCCGCTGCTGCAAGTTCGCGCACCAAGCAGCACACCCGGACGCCGGTATAAACTAGTGCGACCGGATTTAAAGCACATCGCTCATCCCCTATGCTTCGAGTAGTGAAATATTTGAACAAATTGCTGGAAACGCTAGTCGAGGCGAAATCAGTGTCGGAGTTTAAGAGATTCCTTGAAGTCCACTTTGTGGACTACAAATATAGGAAGGACATCACATCTAGATACTATGTAGTGCAGCTTCAATATGCTGCCACCGAGCAGCAATCAGCGACGTGATTCCGCGCATGTGCCCAATCCGTCTACGATGGAGTAACACAGATTTTTATGACGGCTGAGCTGTTCGCTGAGCTTGGCAATTTTGTTGCAAACGTTTCATCACCAATCGAGACAACATCATCATTGCATAGCTGAGTGGCGTGCAGTAGCGTAGAGGAGCCTCGGTGAGAGTGTGCTGAGCGTGGTGTGCGTGCGTTTTTCTTTTATACCACCCTGGTTGTCCGTGGAGACGAGCAATCCAATTGGTTGGGACTTCGATTCGCGTTCAGCTTGGTTGATGGGCAGATGATCTTTGACCTTGGCCCCTTGTGTTTTGTGGCCTGCTTGCTTTTGTGAGCGAGTTTGTCACCGGTTCTGGTTGTTTCGTCACACCTTCCACCGGACTCAAAAAATCGAGTTGGTGGTCGTTCGAAAGTAGTGTTGCGTATACTGCATCCAGTTCGATGTGTCGATTGATTATATTCGTTGATTCATCCATGAATCACAAGAAGAACTGCATTCAAAACCTATTCAAAAGAGCGGAAAAGCACTGCAACAAAGACGAATCGAGAAAGCAGGAAGAAAGTCACCTATACCGAGTGTTTAGAAACAAGGGTTATCCGAGATGTTTCATCAGAAGCTTACAGTAACAAATGTCTCAGCAACAACAGTAGCAGTCACCTAAGCAAGCAAATAAGCCGATGGTGCTCCCCTACATCAAGAACGTCTCCGAACTAACAGGAAGATTGCTGCAGTTGAATGGAATCGCTGTGGCTCACAAGCCAAATGCCACCCTAAGGAAATTGATCTCAAGACCCAAAGAAAAAGTCAATCAAGCCGACCAATGAAATATCATCTACCAGATAAAATACAGCGACTGTGTTATAAACAACATCGCACAAACTGGAAGAAAGCTTTGTACACAAATTACCGAACACAAGGCGGCCGTCAGAAGGCATGATCCACACTCATTGGTTTCTGCGTATAGAGATAAAGGCCACCATTTCGATCTGGATAATGCAAAGAGCTTAGCATATGGAAGTACAAAACACGCGAGGAAGTTTTTAGAAGCCTGGTACTCTACAAAGAAAGCAATCAATCGATACATCGAACTGGACGCAGTATACGCAACACTACTTTAGAACGACCGTCAACTCCATCGATTGAATCCGGTAGAACGTGTGACTAGACAACCAGAATTGACGGCGGACTCGCTTGCAAGAGAAAGCAGACAAAGGCCACGAAACATTAGGAGGCGAGGTAAAAGGTCATCTGCCCATCAACCAAGCTGAAGGCGGATCGAAGTCCCAACCAAAAGGATTGCTTGTCTACACGGGCAACCACGGCGGTATAAAAAACGCACGCACACCATGCTCAACGCAATCTCACCGAGGCTTCTATAGCTACTCTACGCCACTGCACGCCACTCAAATACGCATTGATGATGTCATCTCGATTGGTGAGGAGACGTTTGCAACAAAATTGCCAAGCTCAGAGAACAGTTCAACCAGCATCTGAACAACCTGAGCCACTAGTCTTCAAGTCTATAGCCAACAGATTTTTATCTTTTCGCTTTCTATTCTCAGCATTAAGTATTCATTGGTTACAAGCAGGGTCTCTAAATCCCCTTGAAGACGTCTGTGCTTGGAAGACAATTACTTGGTATTTTGGTCGGCAACGTTTCGCTTTTGACACAAAAGTTTCGTCAGGTCGAGCGAAAGGGTACATAATCTGGGTGGTATTTACAGTAAACGGAGAGGAGATGCATGACAAACGAGCGATGTAGTATGGAGCAATCACCGTTAAAAATAGATATGTTATCTCAAGTGCAATATGAAGAAGAGGAAGGTCCAAGGTGGTCCACGTTATGAAGTCACTACGTGCAAATCCTTATAATTGATAGGGATGCGTGGTTCGATGTACTCTCTCCAATCGTCTATCGATGCGTATTATACTGGTCGGGTTAACACAACTCGCCATGTAGTTTACAGCTATACCCCATCCGAGGTGTCAATGCCGCTGTTAGCTCCGGTGATATCTACAGCGCTATGATAATTATCTTTTGAGGCGATGACTGAAATCCGCCTGATGGTCTCCATGCTGTCAGGTCGATATTAGGCCCTGTGCCTGGCGTATGTACCGCTACCGCTGTATCCAAGCCTGTTTCGCAATGTCCGACATGGGTCCTCTCTGTTCCCCGATCCTGGTAAGCAACTCACTCGCAGGTTGGCCATTGCACATGTGAGCAGCCTTTGCAGCTAACTTTACAGAGACAATTTGCTTCTTTGTGTTGAAATCAGAAGGGCCATATCAAAGAGTATAGACGCCCCAGACACACAAACAGTAGCAATGCGCCTACACCTTACTAGCACCACAAAGGGAAAACAGCATCTGTGTGGCGCTCACTGCATCGCGACGAGAATAGACCTTAACTTGGTGCGATGGTGTGCATGACTTCTTGACCCACAGAAATAATCTGAGTGGCAGCTTTGCAAGTGGCTTCAGAGCCACACATGCAAGAGGTCAGTCCAACCCAGACTCAACGTCATTTATTTCGCAAGTTGGAGAGATGTCCATGGCACTCTATCTTCAAAACAGCTACGGGTGGCAACAATCTACGGGTTATGAGTACAGCTTGACTGGCAAAGAGTACGAGTGTCATGCGCTGCCTCTGACGGTAAATGAGCATCATCCGTGCTTGCCTCAAGCCATGCAGGTCCCGATCAATCATGATGCTAACTCGCCAACTCCCACGTGCGGAGGACCATGTCCGCAGTTACGCAATGTGTTGCGGTCGAAAAATATACGTCAGTTGTTATGGGTCTTGCAAGGCAAGCCGTAAGCGGCTTCAAACAGAACCCCAAGGGGCTCCGGAGCTTCACTCCACTACGTTGAGGGTCATGTTATTCAGTTAAAAGCCCAATATGGAGCACTCGAAAAAGCTATTAATGACTCAGAAGAGAACCAAATTAAAGACCAATAAGCACACATTGTGCCAAACCGGTTGATGAGTGAAACGCGCAATAATTTACCCTCCGTAAGAAAAGGTGTGTTTTGCCTCCGAAATACACACAGAGAATAACAGAGTCACCATTTCTTCTCCGCCTACTGAACTCAACTCCTAAGATGATAGAGTCGACGATTCAGGGTGCCTAGACTAGGCCGGAGCCGTTCGTAGTAAATGTTGTGAAGAGAAGCGCTCTGGTCAAGGATGATCCCAATGAGCAGTATGTACGAGTGACCGTCCGCAAGTATTCACCCACCATTCCGGTGGAAAGTTGCTTAGTTTCCTCTAACCCAACTATTTCAAAAAAGAACGAGCCACTAAAGTTTGCTGTGACTGGACTAATATGCCTCCGGCAGTCTTCAATGTCGTCCTTCCGTCAATTCGCAGATGGAGAAGAACGACCGCTATTTCGAAAACTACAGGTGGCCAGCCTAAAGCACTTAGCAGTGTATTCATGAAGCAAGAGTTCTAAGATAGTCGAGCGACTGACTGCATCGTGATCATTGGATGAGTTCGAGTAAAACTCTTCATTTCGGAAACAAGCGTCTAGTGGATAACAGCCGCCACTGCTCTTTCTTACCCCTTCGTTGATAGCGGTTGGAAAACGATAAGAGGTTAACTGCAAGCTTTCCAAACATGGAAACGTCAGATGGAATCACGGAGAACGAGTTCGGTGTGAATGAGAACTCACCGGAATAACGGCTCAGCATATCGTAAAGAATTCCGAGCACCGATATAGCGTCTGGCAAATCTTTTTCATGTAAACAACCCTGAGATCGGAAAGGAGGTAATCGTAAATACCACTGATATCAAGAACTTACATATGCATCTGCGTTATGAATAATCACTTGGTTTGCATCGTGAGTGCATACAACTTTCTGCAAATCTGAAATAAAAAGAGGATGGAACGAATTCAGGTGAGCGGCCAAACCACATATATGACGTGTGATGGAACAGGTACGCGAAAACGAGTTGCGCAGCCTGAAATAGGCTACCAAGGATGAACCAACAAGAGATTTGAAAACAGTGAAAGTGGAGTGAAACAGTCTTAGGTGAGTGCACAGGCCGCCAATGCATTTAGAGTGAGATGATGTAGACGGATTTCACATGAAACAAGATGAGAAAAGTCACATGTCGAGAATGCCTAAACGATCGTGACCAATCGGATGATGTTAAAAAATCAGCTGGGTTTACAGAATGGGAACGGATGAAAGGAGAACTGGGTTGATGTATGGTACAAAAATCCAAACTGAGCATCGCATATGAAACGGGGTAAACAGTCGCAGGCTTTGATCGCGGCTGTCCACAAACTAGGAATCATTCGCGTCTGGTAGAACCGTAGGATGGGACAAGATTTGCCCTTCATAGGTCAATCATCGGAAGGGTCGATAGGGGGGATCGGATGGGATGGATGGTTCGCTCAGTTGAAAAGTTCATATGCAAATCAGATACTTAAATTTGATTCATACTGCATGTATTTGAATGGCATGTTTATGGAAGTGATTCAAATACCGCTTCTATCGATTTGCTAAACAACTACAACGGGTGAATCCGTGGCGAAGCAGAAAACAAAGGCGAACTAGTCTTCCTGGACGCGTTGTTAAGCACGAAAGTGGGTGGTTTATAATAAAGAAGCGGCTTTCGAAACGTTCTGTGGGCCGGCTAATACACTTCTGTATATTTTAAACACAAATGGAATTTGAATTATTTGACTTACTATACCGCGACCAATAAATTTATGCCAGAAACTCTAGAGGCGACGGAAGAAGGACTGTATCCCCAAAAGGTCGTCGCGGCTGTGCGACATCACTCTCGCCCTGAAGGGTAGAGTGTGCAATGCAGTGGTACGTTCGACCTTACTGCACGGTTGTGAAACCTGGCCCCTAACATCGCCGGACAAAAAGAAGCTAGTTACGTTCGAATATCGGTGCCTTCGCAGTTTGGCTCACATATGGTGGAAACAACGCGTTAGCAACGAGTATGTTAGATGCATTGGTTAAGGCACAGAAAAAGGAACTAAACCGCTCAACACCGTCATTTCACGCACCAGGCCCCGATGGCTCAGCCACATGTTGCGCATGCCAGCCCACCGACTCCCGCGATGTGCGTTGTTTGCTCACTGTAGCTGTGGACGGAAGAAGAGGAGCGGTGGCCAAGCGATGACTTGGTCGAGAGGAATGAAGGCACTCACTTCAGAGCTGGCCTCGTTCGAGCTTCACGGCTCCCTGGTTGGGGTCCAAAAGACGATGAACATGTTTGGCTAGATACACTTGCTGACATGGCAAGGAGCCGACCTCGATGGCGTTCGTGCTGTGAGTTTCTTTGTCCCTCCCCATCCCACTTAGCCTTCCACTCCAACCACGATCTCATTTCGTAGCGTAAAACAGAATAAGTTTTTTTGTTGCCTAGTAGCCGGCCGGTAGCTTACCGGAACGATGCCTATCCGTTGTTGGTAGCTCAGCTGGCATGCAACTGTTGTATTTATTTTCCTTTTGCTTTATATATTGCGGCACAGTAGCCGAGGTGTTTCCCACCTCTAGCTAACTTGTATAATGATGATGATGATGACCCTCTTTACGATAACTCTCTTCAGACAATACATACAGTTAACCCAGCTCGTTCACCAGAAAGTATGCCTTGGTCCGTTAACGGGCATACGGATAACATAAACTAGCCAAGGTAAACGATTAAGATTTAGCAAGCACTGGAGTGAGATACCAGTAGGCTTCTTGCCAAAAGCCAACCGGCCCACCTCCGCGGCGTTTCCACCAGATGTGAGCCATACCCAGCAAGCACCGGTGGTTAAACAAGGCCAAGCGTTTAATGTCTCCACTGCGAACTGAGGAAGTTTCTGATGCATACAGTAACACCGGTTTTATCGAAACCTCATGCACCCCACCCTTCGTTGCCAAACCGATATCCCGCTGACTCCATAGTTGACTAATCCTTTGGAAAGCAACACGGGCATTGCTGATGTGCGAAGTAATCTACTCAGCGACCTAACACCAGAGGTGACACAGCTACCAAGTGAACCGATCCACCACTTCTAGCGGCTGTTCGCTGATAGTACAAAGCAAAGCATGCGCCAAACGTGCAGCGCTGTAGGTCAGTTAAATCTATAGCGCTTGCGTAGCCAATACCTCCACTCCGGAAGAGACAGGAAGCACGGAGAAGCATGAAGGAATGTAATCATTCATGACCATTTCGATAAGGAAGTGAAAGAGGAAATGGGATATAGGATAACCATGGCGAACATAACAAATCGTGGGGAAATGAGAAGACAGCTACCTGCAGACTCAGATGTCACGGCAGAATACAGGATAGAAGAAAATTCCCTGGCATTCCCTTCACGGACTGGTAGTGCCACAAGCCGGCTTGGTCAACTGAGTCGAAGATATCTTTCAGATCAAAGAAAACCACCATACTCGGCCTTCTGTAAAAGTGTCTCTGCTCCAACACTTGCCGAAGTGTAAACATGTGGTCGATACAACCACGACAAGAGCGAAAGCCAGCCAGATTTTCAATGACTTGGCTGGCTCTCATGATGACCAGTAAGTTGTCAGAGTGTGGTATCCATGAGAAGTCTGGAGGCAATAGAAATAAGGTTAATGCTTAGAGGATTTTCGAAAAGTATGCGCTGGCTCTTTTTGTAGATGGGCACGACAGTTGACAGTCGCCAATGTGAAGGCCTCTCGCCTCAGCGTCCCAAATCCTGTTGAATAGATGAGCAAGTCTAGTCAGCAGAGTTATCCCATCATTCAGTAAAGCTAGAGGAAGGTCGTCGGGTCCAGTAGCTTGGTTGCTTTTCAAAAGAGCAAGCAAATGTTGAATTACTCCTAAAGTGGCATGTGTGACAACAACTGCCCAAGTAGGTTAATGAGATTCATTAAACGGCAATGTTTCAGTAGGCCTGTTGAACAGCTCTTTAAAATGTTCCAACCTAATTGTCTAGTCAACGAGGCTGAGAATGGATCAACTGTTCATCTTTGTCAGTTATTTTCTCACTAACTGATGGCTTTCTCGAACACATGTTGAGGTTGGGCTAGAATAGCCTCCGGCTCTTTCCAATAGCATTGGCTTTAAGATTTTGATTGTTTCTCCGAGCTGAGTAATTTAATGGCAAACGTTTCACCACTTTGCTCAGTAACATCTTCAGTACACTGCTGTGTAGAGGAAAATCTCACGGAAAGTGTCGTCGGGACATAGAGTTTGAAATTGGCCTCGTCGATCCGTGTCCCGTGGCCTCTGTTGGTTTGAGTTTCTGTCGCTCAGTTTCATGCTTTCTCAGCTGTAGGCGCACACATGATCGCGGTCAACGCAGAGGTTCATTGAATTCCCCGTAGAGAACCATGCCTCGCGGAATTCTCTTCCTTTTCTTGTCCGTCCGTGTGCCAAAAGTTCCGTGTTGCCCCAGTTAACGTCGTGTCCTTCCTCATCGAGATGCACTGAGATCTGTGACGATACATAATGAGATCGACATGTACGCTTGTGCTCTTGTATTCATGTAGATAGTTTTCTCCCCATTAACTGGGACAACACGGAAACGCTGGCGCACGGACGAACAAGAAAAGGAAGGGAATTCCTCGAGGCATGGTTCTCTACGAGAATTCAGGGAACCTCCGCACTGACATCGATCCAGTGTACTTACAGCTGAGAAAACATGAAAATGGACGGCCGAAAATCGAACGAACAGTGTTCACGGGACACGGATCGACGAGGTTAATCTCAAACGTTATGTCCCAACGACACTTTCTATGAGGTCTTCCTCTGCACTGCAACACACTGAAGACGCCACTGAGCGAAGTGGTAAAAACGTTTGCCATTAAATTACTCAGTTCGGAGAACCAATCAAAACCTTAACTACCAACCCGAGCTACAGGCATTCTGGAACATTGCAAACACGGGATTTCTCCATCTCATGGGCCATAGCCATCCACCAACATTCCCGGTTGATTCGAAGACTCCTTTTCAGATGTTTCCGTGAGCTACAAATACGCAGAAACAGTGCCCATCGGAACGTGTCTTCATATTTCGATCAAGCCGACCAATGCCTCAGAGATCCATTCCTAGTGGTTACGTCTCAATGTTGGTTGCACGTAATGCGTCAAAGGCATACTTTACTACAAATCTGAGACGATCCCAGTCAGTGATCGGCTCACCAACCTCATCAACCACTGACAATTGGTGGAACAGTTCATCATGATATTGTTGAACTGCTGATTACGAGTTCAAGTTACAAGCAAGATATAGACGCTTTTCTGAAGTGGGAAGAGTACCAGACGTGTCACCATTGGACATGGTCAAAATTAATGTACGTGCTCCAAATTGACCGACAGTCTTGGACTGATGTGCGCAAGCTGTAGCTGATGACAATATGGATCCAGGTCATTGAGGAATTAGGTGGGCACCAGGTGACGCAGTGTGAACGTTTGTGCTGGAAGCCAATGCTACTAATATAAACATTATGGTCGGCACACAGTTGCAGGAATCGATCACCACTGTCTGTTCAGCGTGAATCCACTCTGAAGCGGCCTCCCAGGTGTTGTACAGTTTGAAAGACGACCCACCTGGACATTCATGTCACCAACAACAATCACGACAATATTCTTCGCAATGCGAAGAAGAGAGGAGAACCGTCGGTAAGAATCGTCGTTGATACCCTCTAAACTGCATTAAGTAAGGGCAAAACTGAAGCGCTGAAAGGGCATCTTGTCTTCAGAAAGAGTCTATTGAACGAATATAGGTTCGAGATCGAATCGCACACCTACGGCTGTTCACTAGTATCCAGGAAAGTATATTGCTTTCAGCATGTTTGCTAAGAGTGATACCAACACCGTAAATACCTTGAGTCATTGACTCAGTATTGCCAGAGACGCGAAGAGTGTA